GGATGCTGACATGACGAAAATAGGTCTCTCGGAAACAGGTCTCTCGGACGCAATTCTCTTAGTAACAAGCTTTCCAACTAATGGATATTCTTGATAAATATCAGTCCTTCTCTGGACAAAAGGTAATCTGGGGTAAGTCTACAATCTTTTTTAGCAAGAATACTCCCTAACAAGTGCAAGGTAGTATCTGTTATATTCTCAATGACATATCAGTGCACAACTCTACAAAGTACATGAGTTTCTTGGGGATTGAAAAGTCTAAGGTTCAAGCTTGCAGCATGCTCCTCAAATCTCGTTGTCAGGTGATCGCGGACGCGACATGCGTTGGAGGCGCGACAGCCTGCTGCTCACGTCTCGCCGTTAGGTGGTCGCGGCCGCGACACGTCTCGCAAGTGGACAGGCTTTGCCGGTGATATAAATGATACACCCTCGGACTCTGTCCACTCGCGATGAGTGTCGCGACATGACGACTCGTGCGATGTCTGCTTCGCGGGCGCGATGTGGCAGAGGTTCCCGACTACTTGGGCTTGGAGCATCTGTTGCTACGAGTCGACCTGGGGTACGGCGGTTCGTCCTCGTGCGCTTGTGCCCGACTTTTTGATATGAGCACGCCGGGCTCTATTATATGCATTTTTTAGGATTCGCCCTTCGTCCGCTTCACTCACATTGGACTCTTAAATGAGAATAACTCTCTTTATTATAATAAAAAGAGTTGGAGATGTCACAACAGCAATAAAACTATGCATAAAGTGTTGGTCTTGGCTTTAGCCACACGCACGCTCACTCGCCATCCGTCTTGGCTCTGGCTCGGGGACGGGCATTGGCCTTGGAAACAAGACATTGGTCCTTAGACTATAGGCTAGTCTGGGATGGTTTACGCCTATATTTGGCTTGGGGCTTGGACCCAACCCTTATAATCTTTTGCTGCAATTTTATTTGCAAAATCGTTGTGCAATTAAAACCCAATTCGAGTTGGGTATGGATTGTGGTTTTGACTCAACTCGTGCAGACCTCTATAGATACAATGTATATGGACTTGTTGACCATAAATAGGAGTTCCTATGTTGCAGCAGACACACAAAATATACATTTGCATCCATACACTCAACTGAAAGTCTCACGCATCATAGATAGTCCTTAATCCTTGACTCTGTTCTAGTTCGTGGGAGCTCTGAAGTCTGGTGTGCTACAACTTCCGAGACATTTGTAGTTGTCTTTAGTACAAGACACACATACCCTAGTACTATACCAGGGCATATTTATCTTGTGAAAAGAGATATTCTCGCCTCTACTTTAATCTTTCCGCTTAACATTGTATTTTTTTTTTTTTTTTTTTTATTTTTTTTTTTTTTTTTTTCTGTTTTAGTTCTTCTGTACGAAATGAACACTTCAATTCATAGGATTCCCGTGTAATCGACACTCAGTTTGTAACAACTACACAATATGATATAACATATGGAATATCTCTGGTGAATCGACTCTAGTTAGCTAGGGTAAAGTGTCCCTAGTTAGCTCGGGTAAGTTGACCCTAGTTTGCTCGGGTAAACTTAAAAGGGCCCTAATTAGCTTGGATAAGACGACCCTAGTTTGCTCGGGTAAGTTGGCCTTAGCTAGAGACTGTAGGTCGGTGGTTCTACTGACAGTATATGTAGGAGACTTGTGGGACAGTAGGTTGGCGGACCTACTGGCAATGTAACTAAGGTACCGGCAGTATATGAGACTTGTGGGTAGCAGCTCGGTGGACCTATGACTTGTGTGCAATAGGTCGGTGGACGTACTAGCGAAGTACCTACTAACAGTATGTAAGGGTTTGTAGGTCGGTGGACCTACTGACGACGTACCTAAGGGACATAGAGGTAGTAGATTGATGAATTTACTATTAGTTTGCATATGAGGACCTATGAATTGTTTGTATATGAGGACCTATGGACAGTTTGGCATGTGGGGACTTATGGATCAAATATAAATGAACATCTACAGATAGTAAATTGGTGGACCTACTGATAAGATTACACGTGGAGGACTATCTACAAAGGATCTAGACCTTATAGGAAACAAAATAAATGCGGCAGACCTTAGGGTAGCCTAGGCAAACAAGCAGCAGAATTGGGCGGAGCTTGGACAAAAAGTCAAGAGTTCAGTATATATAGGTATTAGGTATGAAGGTGTAGAGTTACACAATATAAGCTTTACAATACACTTGCACACTTCTATTCTCTCATATTCGAGAACTGACTTGATCGTCTGAGGTCTATCGCAGGAAACACTCCTGGCGTTTTTTTACAGGAACTTCGGAGGTCAAACCGGTCTGAGGTCACCGAAAGTGCGGTTGGTAGAGGAATTGCATATCACATTTATTTTGTAAAATTTAATGTCTAAAATAGAAGTGCACAAAATCAAAAATTTTTGGGACCAAATTGCTGCACCCTGTAGTTTGTGTTTGGTTTGTGAATATCAAAAAGACGGCTTAAGGAGAATGAAGAAAACGAAACAAAAATCAAAGTCGAGGCACGTAATAATTACGTTCTCCTTAAGACGAAATTGCCCCGTAAAATACCCACGGTTAACGGCAAATGCCTCCAAGATACAACGATTTTCGATTTGTATATAGCGGTACTTCAAATACACAAGCCTTCGGCGAACAATATTATTGTTTGGAACTCTAAAGACTCAACGAAAAATCAAATAACACGATATGCTTTATGAACTTTGAAAACACAATGCAAGAGCTCTTGAAAATTCTATGTCTTGAATGATTTCATGCTAGTGGGTATTTATATATGTAGGAAAACACCTCCGAGAGGTTTAAGTATCAAAAGACACCTTTTGGGCCGTGTCTGAACAAGAACGAATGCATCTAGTGGTCAAAAGACACTTAATGGTCACCAAGGGTCACAACCCTTTAGTGGCCGCGACCAGCTGCGTGCTCGTGTGCCGCGGGCTCGTATGAGCTCATACAAACTCGGAATCGAGTTCCGTTTTTTCCTACTTGTCCCCAACGAACACCTCTAGAGTTAAGCATGTAAACTGCATGATTAGGTCTTGTTAAAACACTCGTCAAAGATAGAATGTTTTGTTAATATAATAATACTTGAGTTACTTAAACTCAATTGCTTCAACCTTACATTTCCCACATATACAACTTAGAATTAATTTACCTTACATTTCCTACATATACAACTTAGAATTAATATCTCATTCATCTTAAAATGGCTTTGAGAATTTTTTAAGTCTTCCAATTACGAAAAATGGAACTGTTAAATTGATACAAAACTAATTTTTCTTACACACCCCATATTTGTAGGGCCGTTAAATTACTCGCTACATGATTAGGAACAATTGTGTGATCAAGCCATGTAATTAGGTATCGTGATTTCCTGAAAAGAAAAACAGTTAGTTATTGTGATTATATTATTTTCCTTTGCTGCCGGGAAAAAAATAAATTGAGTAATTCAATGATAACTCTACAATAATTTTCGGTCGTGCCGGAGGAGAGAAGTTATCGTAAGTTTTCCTTTGTTGCCATTAAAATCGCAAATGAATAATGTTTCCTAAATGTCAGTCAATTCTAAAGAATTTGGCTCAAGTGAAATAAAAAAATGCGAGAGAAAAGAAGAAATAAAAATAAAAGGAAAAGGGCCGACAGGGAGTTAGTTGGGCCATTCACATCTCAGTTTCTAATTTTGTATCACATGGATCTTATCTCTTTTGGTTCAAAAATTGACATGGAAAAACAGCTACAACAATCAATAATCAACGATATCACTCAACATCATAGCCAAGATAATAGACAAGATCACAAAAACTCAGATGGCATAATTGAGGGAAATGGATATTGTGTCGACTTTTTTGTTCTAGATTTCCTTTTATAAAATTTAAATTTTTATCCAAGAATTATAGTATTACACAAATATTTTCACCCGAGAAAAAAAAATGCTTCATTTATAAAAATATAATAAATAAATAATTGGGTACGTAGGGTCGACCTATATAATTCTGGGTGGTGGGTCGTGGGTGCAAACCAACCTAATAGAGTTATGTTGCAATTCTAATTTTGTACCAAATAAATTGGTTATAATAGAAAATTAGAATCTGCAAAGTAGAAATACTGTGACAGTCTGAGCAACTTGATGTTTAAAGTAGAAATTATACAAAGGAAAATATTTGAAGTAGAGTTGATGTTTTACAAACGAATGGGAAGAAATCTCAATTTTAAAACCTAAAGTAATGGTTTAAAATGTACACATAGGGACCACTCAAGTTCACTTGAAAATGTGGACCATCAATTCCCCTTTTCTTCCTTAAAATTATAAAATATACATCACATAATATGACACTTTTTTTCTGAATGCTCTCAACTGCACTCTTTATCGGTGAGTATTGCAGGTAAATGTCACGTTCCCTAAAGTTGAAAATGAAAAAAACAAATTCATTGCCAATGGGGCAATTTGGGCCCACCTCCAGCTTGGGCCTTATTTGCCCTTGTTAGGTTCGAATTTATTGGCTTGAAAAAGTAGAAACTCAAACTCATGACTCTACTTAATTTGACTATCAATTTTTGTGGCAAATGTCAAACGAAAAAAATATGGTCTCTCTAATGACCAATAGTTCACACGTATTATAAATTGTTATATACATGTGGTCAGTGTTAGTAATTGAATCGAACGAGCTGAGCTTTGGACGTTTCGAACTCGTGTTCGTTTATGTTCGAACAATGTTCGTGTTCGAGATCGTTCATTTTATTGTTCGTCAAAGTTTGAATTCGTTCGTGTTTAAGTAATTTAAGACATAAACTTTTTAAATATGTTTGGTTAACTCAAAATTTATTCAAACTCGAAAATAAAATAAATATTTTTATATTTTAGATTTTTTATTAAAAAATCATGTAATATATAAAAATAAAATAAATTTATATTAGATTAATGTTCGCGAACGTTATCAAACGAATTCGTTTTC